ACTGCTGTCATCATAGGGTTAGGGTTGGGGTTGGGTACAGTGCACTGCTGTCGGTCTGCCAGCCATGTCGACCTCACTGTGTTGTGTGATTCGTTCCTTCTCCATTCCGTAGTTGCAATGCGGCTAGGGGACTGAACTCCGGCGTACTCCCCCAATATGTGGCCGTAGTTGCAAGGAGAACCGGATGTTGTTTACAGCTAGGCTTTGATATCTGCACTTTTTGGCCCAAGACATATGATTTCAGCGAATCCCTAATAATAAGTCACTTAATACAACATGCTTGTTAAGGGGCATTGAGTCTGTTTCCCCCCACCCCCTCTCCTTTTTTTTCTCCCCACCAGAACCCACTCAAATATGCTAACGTTATGAAATGTTGGTATATCTCCTTGTGTTATCAGTATGGGACACATAGTTGTGCTAGTATCTTGTATACATTATTATCATAGGCCAGGTTTGAAGGCATGGGCACTTATGTCTTTTCACAGATAGTATTCTGGATAAGTTCTGTTGGTGATTAGTGAAATTCTCTCATCCCATAATATTAGATCATCCAGCATAATCTGTTCAGTCTACTTCTCCCACTGCTCTTTCCCATCATCACAGTGTTATTCTATGCTTACCTTCTCATCTTTCTTTTATTACATTTTTCAGTCAGGACTGATTAGGGCCCCTCTTCACCATTACAATGGGGTGTCCAGGTAACAGACACTGGTCTGGCTAATCAGGGAAGGATTATTTGTGGTGTTCACTGTGACAAAACCTGCCAGAACCACAAACTGTACACTCCATAATGGTGGCAAATAAGGGTCATTACACTGCCCATCTGGGAATCAAATTCAGAATGAACAAGCTGCTTCTTTAGTGGGTTGGAATGAAGTATTTACCAAGTCTCAGATTTTCAGTTTGAATAATTGACTGAGGTTCAAAGCAGAAACCACAACTAGAAGAAGATTCTTTATTTGTGTAAAACAAATATTTAGTATATCAGGTTGCAAGCAGATTAACAGAGAAAATTTAAAGTTGCTAAATAAAATTTGGCATTTTAGAAATCAGTCTGTTGATCCCTTGTCAACTTCTCTGCCTCATGTATTATCTTACTAAAGGTGTTTTTAAAAAACTGTAGACATATTTACAAGAAACTCAAGTTTGGGGATTCAGAACTTTGCCCATGTAGACAGGCACCACAGAATACTGAACATGTGCTATAGACATGGTTTCTACATGCAGTGAAGAGATCTCAGGTTTGGCCGATTGGCATGCCAGTGGAAACCTGGCAGCATGGAACAGTGGAAGACATGTGTCGTGCCACAGACTTTACAGAAGCCTTGGCCTTCTCATCTGAAAACCACTAACAGAGAGAATGAAAGAAAGAAGAGAAAAGAAACATGCGGTGTCCACCTTTGTGCTAGACAACCAATGCCTCTTGTCATATAAACTAACCCTTTCTGCACTGAACTCTCTATAATCCTGTAGTGTCTAATATATCCAGAGTATTTACATTTGTAGTGATTAGTGATCATCGTCACAGCACTCTGGACAGCTCCATATGTGCTCTGATCTCCAGCTTAAGTGCTCAACAAGTGTAAAATGACTGATGACACCTATTCTGTGTTGATTAATCAGACTTCTTGTTCCTTAGTGAAATGTTCATTTCTTGCACCTCCAAGTTGCACCGTCATGTCCATCAACCTAGAATTTAATTGTTAACACATGATACTGTTTGTGCACCAGTGTGTTTTCAATGATTACATCTTGTTGTAAGTTAGTATTCTTCTTTGTTATCTGTGTGATTATAAGAATTCATTTGTAGCATTTAATTTCAAAATGTGAATTTTCATGTATAGATCTTGCAAAATTGTCCATGATTCACATTAAAATGTTCCTTAGAAAAGACACATCCACAAATGTAAATTTTTTAAAACTGATATTATCATCTTTACTAAAACCTTGCATTAAGAAACCACATAACATTTGGTACTTTTCCCAGTTATGATTGCAGAATTGGTTAAGCACTTCCTGCCACATATTGTTTCTTTACATAACTACACGCCTGCTGCTTCCACAAACATGAAACTTGATAATTGGCGGCAGCTGAACAGGTATAGGAAGCTGAGCATGTTTTCAAAGCTGTTTGCTTACATATAATACAGTTTTGCATAGACGTTGACTGTATGTAATTTATCTATTACATAACATTCCCTTTTATTAACATTTCAGAATTTTTAAAAAATGTGCATGTTGTTTAAACATTTTTTAGACTTTTATACTTAAATTGATCAGAATAAGACAAAAGTGCCACTTTAAAATAAATTTTGTGTGAATATATTTGTGTTGAAAATCAGGTCAGTTATTATTATTATTATTATTATTATTATTATTATTATTCTTATTAGTGTTATCCCTAACTTTTAAATAGCTCGGTTAGTATGTCCAAGTTTATCTTTTAAAATAATTTAACATTTCTTCATCACTGACTCTTTTACCACTTCGGGAGTTGACGGGAGAAATAAATATTAACCATAATATTAGGGTTTGGTTTATGTGCAGTATTATGTTTATATAACATATTATTATTATTGTCATATCAGTTCATCTGAATCAATGAAAGTAGTACATATTCTTCTTATTCTTCAGCATTCCGAGCCCTTGAGGTTCATTGCTGCAGATTTCACTTGCCTCCATTTATCTCTCTGGTTGGCCTTCTCTTTCCAGTTGATGACACCAAGTGTTTGCATGTCTGATTGGATATTATCTCTCCATCATCTTCTTGGTCTGCCTCGTAGTCTACGACTATTCATCTCCCTCGTGTATACAGTTTTTACTTCTCTGTCATCTGACATTCTTTCAATATGCCCCAACCATTTCAGTCTATTAGCTCTCATGATGCCAGTGATCAGTGATGATTTAAACATAATATGAATTTCGTTGTTGCTTCTCACTCTCCATTCACCGCTATTTGCATCTTTTATGGGTCCAAAGATTCGTCGTAAGATTCTGTTTTCGAAAACCTTTAGTACGTATTGGGTTGTTTAAACATAAGTGTCTTTAAAGTGTTCATAATTTTGAATTAGATTTGAAAACAAATTATTCAAATTTTACCGTTTTGCACAGGCCAATTTTGTGCAAAGAAAACATGAACAATTGAAGAAGAAAAAAGATGAAAACTCCTAATATTTTCTATAACTGAAAACTAGAATTTAAAAAACCATTATAGCAGGAAAGACTAAGTAAAGGTAAAGGACCCTTTTCCATGCCTTTAGGTATATAGGGCTAGACCTATATTTTTATAGACCAATCGGCACAAGATGGGTGATGTGGCCGCCTTCACTTCCCAGGACTGCAACCTGTTCCCACTCAAGGCTGAGTCGACCTGGGGGTTAATGTCATTTTTGAAAAAAGTCTGGCTCCGCACGAAAGAGAGCAAGCAGGTAAAGGTATGTTTGTTTATTACCAGAACTGTATTGTTTTGGTTTAACCCTGTCATCCTGTAATGCTCACCAAAAAATAAAACGGTCAAGACCCTTTTGGAACTCCCTAAAATTCCTTTAAAAACCAACAATTTTACACTGGTCACTAATAAATTGTTTACAAATGTATTTACTTTTTTTTTTTTACACCAACATAGAAGCATTAAATGGAACACATTCCGTGTTCTAAAAACAATACTCATCAAGTGACTCATGCCATGAAGTTATGACCTCTGTAACTGAGGCTACGGGATTTTAGGAAGTCAGCTTGGCTCTTTAAAAGCCATTTGGTTCAGAAAGGAAACCCCCTAAATAGAATTTTCACATCCTGACTTAAAAAATGCAGAGCGGGCCTGAACTGAGCCACTAACATAAAGTATTCTAGTAAAGTCGGAAAAGTGACTTTTGAGGGGAATTGGGCCAAAATTAAAGTGATGGTTTTGTGATTTATTAGTGTGACAGAGTTAACACTATGTAATTTTCACACACAATTTGTTTTTGCTGAGTTATAAAAATATTTTGTGTGTGTGTGCACATGCTCGTGAATGCATGTGTGTGTGTGTATATAAATATATATATATATATATATATATATATATATATATATATATATATATATATATATATATATATATATATATATATATATATATATATATATGTTTTCTGTAATTTTACCTGTTTACCCTTTGAGTGCTGATTTGGTGATGCTACAGGTACTTTTATCTCAAATATAACCACACATTGTCTTTCCTCTTTCTAGTTCACATATGCTAGAACTTTACTTGTATATGAATGACTAAATGACTACCTAAATTCTAGTTTAAAAAACTTAATATTTAATTTAATTCATGTATTGCAATTTCATGATTTTTATACATTTAATTAGTAGAAGACATTTTCTTATGTTTTGTTGATTCTTTATTATAGTCAGTATAGTTTGGTAAAGAGAACCATAATTTTGTTGAAAAAAAAAAAGAAACTATCCATGAGCTATGTTTAGGGCAGGGTTATTCAGCTTAATTTACTCAGGGGCAAAAATATGGGAAATGAGAATCTTCCTGGGCCAGAGGCTCAAGTCGCAGTGTGGAAAGATCATTTTACAGTACAGTTGACAAGATCAGCAGGCCACTTGCTAGACTCTGTGGGCCAGAGTTAGCTTGTGATAGATTAGATAGTTCTGTTTTAGGGGATTCTGGGAAGGAAGAAATACTGACCTAGTTAATGACTTCCATATGGCAAATTCACACTGCCATGCTTGTCAACTGTATCAGAAATGATTAGAAATGGATATTCTTATCTTTCATAAAGTGAAGGTGTCTTCTTTTTGTTTTCTGCTACCTTGTTTTTGTCAGTAATTTCTTTTTTAATTTATTCATTATTATCAGTAGTTACTACTATTTCTGTTGCCTCAAGGTTTCTCAAGTTATTTCAAAATAACCATGACACTTGACTTCTGACATTTGATAAAAACTTTGGAAACATCTGTTTTCAGTTCTTGTAGCAGAAGTGATAAAACATTTCCTGCCCAAAATGATTGACATCCACAACTATACCCCAGGCAGTTCCACACCCCAGAAAATGCAAAACTGGTTTCTTATGAACAGGTGACCCACAATGTCTGTGTTTAGAATCAGTAATTGTGATGTAAAGGTTTTTCTGTTAATTCAAGAGCTAACTAGGTGTGTTTTTATATGTTTAGATATGTCAAGTAGCTGATCAAATCAGTGAACACAAAGGTTGATACAAATACATGTTAGTATTCTGACGACTCAAACAGTCAAATTTATTTTAAATTTGTAGACACAAACAATAGATTGATAATTTATTGCCTGGCTTATTTCGCCTTATCTCACAAGGTGCATACTACAGTAACAGTTGATTAAACTGAAGCAAATGAAACTTATTTTAGTCAGATACTAATGCAAAAATAAGAAACAAATGTTAGAAAAAAAAAAAAAAAAAAAATGCTATTGTCTTGCACATCATCATCATCATTATCATCATCAACCACTTTTGCTTAAGTGTTGCGGTGAGGAATAATTTATGATCCAATGCATACTGGCTGCCACTGGCTATTGTCAGTCATGTTGTGAAGGTGTTGAGTGTCTTTAATGTTGTAGATCCATATTTCTGTGGCTGTCTTGCTCTTGTAGCCGATCTTCTGAGATGTAGTGCTTGTGATGGTATTTAATCTTGCTGCATTCCAACGAGATGGTCAAATTACCTGATCTGCTGTTTCTCGATGAATCTAGTACAAGGTATCTTTCCCACAATGTGTCTGATAGTATCATTATTCACTTGATCTCGGATGGTCAGGTGGTGGCTATTCTCAGGCATCTAAACTGGCAAGTTGTGATTTTGTGTACATGGGCTTTTATGGGCAAATACTAGCATATAACTTTTGAAGGCCCAGACAAACATCTCTTCATCTCTAAACTATTATTGGTTGAATTTAGCTGAGTTGAATTAGGAACTGACTTACCACTCAGGAAATTTCCATATGCACTCTATCTCCATCTTCGGCAGCTAGCACAGAGTTCCATTTCCGGTGGTAACACTAGCTGTATGATTGTTTGATATCTTGCCTTTTCCCTGAGTATTGTTGGCTAAATCCTCTTAATCAATCCCTGCTTCACCATTCTATACTTGTCATGATTATCTGTTTGGGCCTCGGCACTGTACATTCGCTCCCAAAGGGCCTTTGCAATGTGTATGTATATATATATATATATATTTAAAAGCCCTGCAATCATTCTCATGTCCTTATATTGTGCTGGTTGTTTTAAAAAGTTATGAAAGAAGTATTTAATGGATAAACACATCTGGCATCTTAAAATGTTCAGAAAAGTTTAAGCCTGTGTCTGACCTTGTTTACCCACGAGGATTAAAACATCCAGCACCTTAAAGAGGTGATAACTCTATACATGATTCACCCAGCCTCTAGGAAATGGGTACCAGAGTTGACACTCTGGGGTAAATGGAGGAACGTCGCTGTAGCTACAGAGTTACATGCGAACGGCGACACAGGCAGACAATCCTTATCATCTGTGCGTACTGGTGGCAGTGCGCTTATGGTTTATAACCATGTGCAATGACGCTGGTTCACATCTTCCGACTTTACCTTTACCTTTATGATTCATAATATATGGGAGAATACTGAATATCATCTAGACATAACCACAGCTACAAAATACCATTAGCTGTTTGTTTTTTCTTATCATTTGTACACTCCTAATATTACCTTTGAATAATAAGGGTGTATGCAATACTTTGAACAATTTATTGTCTGACACTAGTAGGTTCAGCTCATAAACTCGTAGGTTCATATTTTGTACAGATAGGTTCACCTTTTTCGCCAGTTAAAAGAGTTAGTTGCAAATCCTTCACAGGACGCTGCAGAACCAGCCTGGGCATTTTGTTTTTTGTTTTGGGTTTTGGCTGTTTGTAGTTTTATAGGCAATTTTACGTTCAGTAGTTTGCCATTGCTTCTGAATGATTAGCTCTCAATACAATTGTCAGTACCAATGCAAGGAGGTCTGCTATCTAACTGCCTGCAGATAGGATCGTTCCTAAAACAGTGATGCTGACTGTTCACCAGTAGGCTCATCTTATATGTGAAGGTCATCTTAAACATCTGTAGCTTCATACCTTATACCACCTGGTTCATTTTTTTTGTATCAGTCAAATATTCTTATATAAAAGTTTTTCTTAAACAGTGTGAAAGCTGTCTTATCATAAACGCCAGTTAGTGAATCTTATATACCTGTGGGTTCATCTTATACACCCGCTGCCTCAAGTAATTCAGCTATGCTAGTTTTTAATCTATCTATATATATGTGTGTGTGTGTGTGTGTGTGTGTGTGTGTATATATATATATATATCCCTGTGTGGGTTCCGGGGTCCCATTGTGGGGGAAAAAGGATATACTCACTGCCTCCCTAACAAGCATGTTGTAAGAGTCAACTAATTGGGGGCTTCCTTCAGAGTCCGAAGGGCATCTGCCTGAGAGGCGAGGAACCATCAGTCTGCATCAGTTAATTCAGATTTGTTAAATGGATGTGCACACTAAACTCAGTTTCTGGAACAAGACCAAAGTCTAGAGGTGGACAAACAACCATAACTTTCTACCGGAGTTTACAGAGGGTGAACTTAAAGAAGAAGAAAATATATATATGAGTATATATATATTTATATATATATATATATGTGGCGCGGTATATATGTATATATATATATATATATATATAAGGAGATATCCGTATATATATATATATATATATATATATATATATATATATATGTACACACAAGACATGCACACACATACACTCTGATTTGACTAGCAGTAAGTGGTTTCCTTTAATAAAAAAATAATTGGCTGTTGCTTTCTTCACTTGCACATTTATAATCAGCTAGTATTATTTATTTATGCATTATCTGTAATCTTTAAATAAAAATAACAAATGATTTATGGAATGTATAAATAATGTCTTGCTAACAAGCTATTTGTAACAAAGATAACAAAGTATCCATACAGATCATGTGTAAGTTTTCTCGGCAATTATTTATCTACTGTTGCGTACTGATTTGGGAGAGTTGTAATATTGTGGGAAGGGACAAATTGTATGATAGTTATATCCGGAGGTTCAAGGGTATGTCCCATAACTGGTGTCAGTATTGGCCCAAGTGGTGAGGGGGAGTCAATGTTGGCACCAGTGAGAAGTGTATTGGCACGGGAGGGACATGAACGCCTGAGAAAATAGCTGCGTGGGCTCACTGCGGGGGCTGACAGGCATGGCTAACATGATGCACGGAAGAAGTATGAACTACGTGCTAGTGTGATTCTCATGTAAGCCTCAGCCACCCACATGAGAGTGATTCTCGTGTAGTCTGAGAACACCCACATGAGAGTGATTCTCGTGTAGTCTGAGAACACCCACATGAGCGTGATTCTCGTGTAGCTGAGAACATTTTTTTGTTAAAACCAGTTTGTAATCTAGAAGCCAAGGTCATTCGTAGAAATCTGGGTCTGTGAGAATTTGAATGTGGAGTTCCCTGTCTGGGTTCTGGGAGTACATTTTTTGATGGTGGGGGGGGGGGGGGGGGGGTTCAATAGGCCCACTGCTTCCCTAACAGGCATGTCATAAAAAGTGACTTATGGGTGTTTTCTTATGTCTGCATACAAATAAGACGGATCCGCAAAATGTTTTTGCACGCAAAACTCAAATTCTGGAACAATACCAAAGTCCAGAAGTAGACGACCATTCATAACTTTCTGCCAGAGTTTACAGAATGCTAAGAAGAAGAGGAAGAAAAATCTGTAGTCACTGGATTAGGATGTAGACTAAGAATGATTCAACATATTTGTGAGGACATAAAATTCGATAACATTTGTTTAGGAAAAAAGATCAAGAAGTTCAATGTATACTTTTTTCCCAATAGAGTTTCTGAATATAACAACTGATTGGGGCAGAAAGAGTTAAAAGAAATCAGTTTCCTGGAAAAATATGTTTGTTGTGTTTAATGTTTATATATCTTAATGTGCCTGAAATAAATCTTACATTGGTAAATATTTTAGCACATATAGCTTTTTAGAGAAAATAATTATTTTAAAAGTATGTTAATTAACATAATGCCATTGTAATGTCAGCCATACAAATTTAAATATAGAGACACACATAAACATGGAAGCCTAGATTTACAACACAGAAACATAGAAATGTACAGAAACACAAAGAAGTAAAGACAAACATAGAAATGCACAGAAACATAGATTAGTGTTTAGTAAGAACTGTCTTCATAGCTTTCCAGACAGATCCATAAGTGCCCTGAACTCTTTTTCAGTGGCTCCACAAGTGTAAAACAGCAGACCATGCTTTTTTGTGTCGATTATTCAAACATCTTCTGAACTTAGATGTTCATGTCCCGCTGCTTCAGGTCACACTCCTATATCCACCAGCTAGAACAAGAATACTGAGTCCTATTTGTTGCCGTGATCTTCTTCACAATTTCTCTCTTACAAGGCATTAATGGCATCACTCCTGTCCAGTGCTGGGTCAATCATAGTAGCCGCCTTGTCTGCCAGATAATCTGCACGCTCATTACTTCTAACACTTGCATAGCTTGACACAAAGACAAAGGTTTGGTGAGTTTTTCGCACTAAATGTAAAGTGAGAATCCATTCTCACCTGATGAAACCTGTATGGATTGTCTTAAGCATATTCATTAAGTCACTCAGTATGCATGCATAGCACCACAAACATACATAAACACAGAATAACACTAACTCATTCACACACACACACCAAAACACATAGAAACACAATCAAAATGTACACATACAGAAACACAAATGAAGGTATATGTATGTATAATCACACATGAACATAACCATAGAAGGACATACAGATACATATATTTTTGCTGGAAATGATTTAATAAGAGTAAGAGTGACATTTATATATTCATAGTGCTTACTTATGTATACATATATAGACATGTATTTATAAATATATAGAAATATATTTAGATATATACATACGTATAATCACCCATGAACATACAAGGACATACAGATACATACATTTTTGCTGGAAATTGTTTAATAATAAACTTTCAGAGTGTTGTTTTTTATTTAATTGCATGAATATTCAATTGTACAGAAAGGTGTTTTCCAAGCTGAACTTTCAACTGACAGAAGATCTGATCCGAGAGTTGTGTCTCGGGAAAGCCGGGCTCATTGAACGCTTCCTCATGCACCTTAGAGCAAAGATTGAGAAAGCAAACTGGGATATGCAAAAGGATGCAGGTGACAGGAAAGACGTTGCTGAGAAAGTTACCAAATCATCTCAGAGGCTCTACACAAATCCCAAGGGCACTAAAGCAAATTTTAATGATAAACCTGAAGCAGATCAAGACATAAGTAAGTAAATATGCTTTCTTCAATGTCCTTCATCAATAGCTATCCAAAGGAAAGACATTTTTGGAGTATCAATTGCAGGGCTCATATTGTTATGTAGAACCTGTGTTGTTATATGTATGTGCAACATGGACAGTTAGGAAACAAGCTGAAAAACATTTACTCGTGGCAGAGATGGAAGGAAAGAAAAACAGATGAAGCAGCAAAACAGAAGGAAATCGTAAACTTATTAGAACATGGACAGTCTATGTATTTTAGACATATGAGAAGGTATGGTCTTGAGAAATTAGTAACAACTGTCAAGATTGATGGAAAGGGAGCAAGAGGAAGGCAAAGAATTAAATACCTGAATACCCTGGCAGATGGATGGGGCGAAACAAATTCATTGATCTGATCGGTGATTCTGGCAAATGTGTGAGATGACAAAACATGACAACCTTTGCTTACCAGCATGGCACTTGCTGATGATGATTATTATTGGGCCTTGAAACCTGCAGAATTCCAGGGATATCATCTTAGGTCTTCAAGCTTATAAAGAACCCCCGGGCGGCTGAAAAAGGATCAAGTTTGGAATTTTTGTTGGACAACTGGAATTGGGAATTGGAATTTAATTTTTTTGAATACATGCAATTTTCAGCAGTTTGTCTACTGTGGTTATTTTAAATTATTGTTGTCATTGAGGTAAACTGAGAGTGCAATCTGTTGATCATTTCAAGTCTATCTTTTATGCATTTGCTGTGTACGCAGTGAGAGTTTATAGTACTTGGGCTTACAATTAAATAAGGTCTGGGAAATGATAGACTTAGCACCTTTTTTTTTAAAACTTTTGTCAGGCAGAGAAAAAAAGGACTTTCAGAACATGCAGAATTTGTGAAGAATTTTCACTCATAGTCAGACAAGTGTAGCAAGTAGATTTTGTGTTAATAAAGAAATGGAAGAATCCAGTATAGCTGGAAGAACTCTGGTTTCACAAAGGATGATTGTTGATAATATCAGAAATTTGGGTGAAATAGAAAACATTGAAATTACATGAAAGATGATTATTGATCTGGACAGACAGACGGAAAATATTTAATAACACACAAAAGAAAGCAGTTAAGAAAACAAATTTGGTATGAAAACAAACTTGACTCTTTGAGTCCCAGGGGGTTTAACATCAGAAGCCCAAGGGGTTGTCAAAAGAGATGTAAAATGGGCACATCTTGCGTTTATTGCGCCTCTAGGTAGGAACCTTTGAACGTATGAAGCGTTCTTTGGGACTCAAAGAGTTAAAACACTGAAAAGAAGAAAACTTTTTTTTAAAATAACATGCTAAAAATATGACTGCTGCTGCTGTTGATAAAAATGCTTAGCAGGCAGAAAAAACGCAATATCTCCTGCATTCTTCTGCCAAATAATTTGTTACTTTTAGTTACTCTGTTAATTGTTAAGACACTTTTAACTTTTACTCTTCTTGGTTCCAGTTGGTACTTTAAATATTTTGGGTGGAATATGAGACTAGACTTATATTTCTCAGTTTGCACTTGTTGGGTAATGTGGTCACCATAACACCGGCTACTTTTATATCCTAGACAGTACTTATTTTAGACTATGTTGACCTGGGAGTGTAGGTCAGTTTTGAAAACTAATTAAACTATAAACAAATTCAAACCTAAAATCTTATGGTCAGCAGGTGAACATCCAGCATCCAACTACTACACAACAGCAGCTCCATAACACAGTGTTTCCCAAAATTTTTTCAGGCGCGGCACCTTTTTCCAATTTTTTTTTCACGGTGCCCTAACCTAAGTAATAGTACGACTATTCTCATGTAAGAGATGAAAAAAATCAAACTTGTTAATCTTTGAATATTTTGTTGCGCCCCTGTGAAGAGGTAGTCTCCCCGTGGCGCACACAGTTTGGGAATCACTGCCCTAACATATAGTGAAGACATTATTGTTTTTTGTCTGGTATTTATTTTATTGTTGTTGTCATCTGCAGTTTCCCCTGGCCGACTTAAACAGCAGCTTAATCAAGTTGCTGTACGGGGGTAGGTATTTTTTTTTCTATCTGAAAACATTGGACAAGAGACATCATAATTTCTGCTCTTTATCACCAGTTGGCACATAAATCTTTACCAGGTCATATCAGACCATATCATTGTTTGCCATCTCCTGCAGTGCTCTCCACATTTACCTAAACCTAGAATAGATTTATATAAAACAAGTTTAGCGTACTCCGCTGCTCATTTGTGGAACCAACTTCCACTAGACCTGAAAAATTCTAAAAGTCCCTATTCATTTAACCGTAAACTTTTTCAATTCATACTTACAAGCGATTATATGCCACCTTGAATGTAATGTAACCCATATAGCCTTATCAATTTATTATTAAACAAGGTGTGTATGATATGTATGTATGTGTAGGCATGTTTGTATACATATGTTTATGTATGTAATGTATGCATGCATGTATGTGTGTGTAAGTGATTGGGTGAGCATGTGTATGTGGGTGTATGTATGCACGCGCAGGTTTTTGCATGCACTTTACAACTCATGCTTTTGTGTTCTTTTAAAATATTCATAATATGCATATGATCATATGATCATAACATGCTTTATTAGTAAAATACACTGCTGTGCGAAAGATGGTTGACTGGAAGGGCTGAATGTAAGATGGGCCTGCGTGCCCAATTTGTGATCCTTTGAAAATAAAGTTCGTTCGTTCGTTCGTTCCACGACTTTCCTTTTATTAATTATCTCTACCTCAGTACACTTCTCCGTGCATTTAGTTTTTAATCCTCAGCATTTACAAGGGTTAGATTTCTACAGTGAACAGTTTAAAAAAGGTCATACTTCTGTCTTTCAGAGAGTGGTATGAGAGTTGCACCAGAGAAGAGGCTGGGGCTTCATCAAGTAATATTCCCAGTTAGCGGTGGATAAATTGCTGCCAACCGTCACTGTGGAGATCATACACTTTATATATTTTTTGTATTTATGAATTGTTTGGTTTCTCTTCTTGATAATTACCCTGTGAATTCCATTTAGGAAGCATTCTAGTTTAATCATTATTAATTTTCTCAAAATCTGTGCTATTCAGTGTCAGCATCTTTCCTCACATTTTGATTTGAAAAGAAATTTAGTAGTGAAGAAAAATAGTAGATGTTTACATCTCCATCACTTTTTAACATATCAAACTTCTGGGCTGTGATTAGATTTCATTGTTTTGTCTGGGTTTTGTTTATTTGTTTGTTTCATTAATGTTCCTTTTTTTAAGGTCTTGATTTACATTTTCTTCTCTAGAAATGTAAAGGGGAGATCTGATGAACCAGTTCCTAGGGCACTCTATGAAGAGAAAGAACAGGAATGTTTGTCTAAAGAAGAAACTATACAAGTAGGTGTTTTTCTTTCATACTGATTTATATAGTCAGTAAAATACCTCATTTTTGTTAATGGTATTGTTCTCTTAACACTTAGTTTTGAGGCTTAGAAGTGTCTTAGAAGTTAATAAATACATTAAAAAAATTTATGATCTTTAAGTACTAAGGTTGGATTACCACAGTAGAAGGTTTATTAAAAAAAAAACCATGTTTTCTTGTTTTTGGGGATCTGGTATGAGAGTTGCACAGTGAAATAGATTGGGACCTCCCACACAATATTCTCAGTGTTAGCAGCGGCTCACTGTAGCCAGCCTTCTTTTTGGACATGGAAAGGGCACACACACACACACACACCGCACGCACACATGCGCATGCATGCACCCACCCGCCCACCAACCACACCCACCCCCCACACACCCTCACCCCCCACCCACACACACATGCATGCACGCACACACACACACACACACACACCATAACACATACACAACATGCAGTGTGGTGTGCCCATATATATATATTTATATATATATATATATATATATATATATATATATATATATTATAAATTTATCTGCAATAAAACTTCATTACGTGTGAGATAATAAGCTGCAGAAAGGTTAGTGGGGGCTGAATGAAAACCGACTTAATTAGAAATTAAAAAGAAAACATACACAAATGGTATATTGCGCAATACATCGCTTGGCATATTTCACTGTATGTGATCAAGTGCATTACTACAGGTGTGATGTATTGTTTGTGTCATAATTATTTAAATTCATAATACGAATTAAAAAAATGTTTTGAATCAGAAATGAAAAGCCCTAACTTCATGTGTTGATGTAATAATAAGGCAATAAATGAATTGATTTGGAAAGTTTGTGAAAATTAAACCTGATAAATTACTTTGAAAAATCATACAATTTGAACTGGTTATTTATACGTAATTAGAAGGTCATGCAAATAATGGATGGATAATCACAAAGCTGCTCTAAACAGTGATGGCTGTAATGCAATCACAACAACACATGTGGCTTTAAAATGCAATCTTTGGCTCCTAACAACCTTAACTAGCAAGTTTGCTATAGGAAAGAATACATCATATACCTGAGACTTTACAATAGACAATCAAATATCACCTATCTCACAGTAACCAAAATGAATAAAAAAATATGGCGGACTGCAGTGGTTCTGTACCCTGCATGGTGGTGTGCCAGTGCACAAACTGGTCAAGACTTATCTAATCCTCTCTGTGGCCATCCTAGCTTCCCAACCTGAAGTTAAGATTTATCTACACCTCTCTGAGGTCATCCTAGCCTCCCAACCTGAAGTTAAGACTTATCTACACCTCTCTGTGGTCATCCTAGCCTCCCAACCTGAAGTTAAGACTTATCTACACCTCTCTGTGGTCATCCTAGCCTCCCAACCTGAAGTTAAGACTTATCTACACCTCTCTGTGGCCATCCTTGCTTTCCAACCTGGGGTCAAGACTTATTTACACCTCTCTGTGGTCATCCTAGTTTCCCAACCTGAAGTTAAGACTTATCTACACCTCTCTGTGGCATTCCTAGCTTCCCAACCTGGGGTCAAGACTTATCTACACCTCTCTGTGGCATCCTAGCTTTCCAACCTGAAGTTAAGACTTATCTACACCTCTCTGTGGTCATCCTAGTTTCCCAACCTGAAGTTAAGACTTATCTACACCTTTGTGTGGTCATCCTAGCTTCCCAACCTGGTAATTAAAATAATAATAAGTAAAGATCCCTATTCACGTCTTTAGGTGTATCGGGTATATAGGAAGAGTGCCAATATTTTTTACAGACATCAGCACTGTGTGGGTAATGTGGTCAACATTACGCCGACCATCTTTACTTCCCCAGGACAGCCATCCTAGTACCCATTTTAGGTTGGGTCGACCTGTGACTCCCCATACCATGATAAAAATCCACGCAGCCAGCAGTGGGTTTTGATTGCGGTATGTTGGAATTACGAGTCTGACTCGCAACGCCTGAGCCATGGATGCCGCTTCCCGACCTGGGGTCAAGACTTATCTCCACTTCTTTGTGGTCATCCTAGCTTCCCAACCTGGGGGGCAAGACTTATCTACACTTCTTTGTGGTCATCCTAGCTTCCTAACCTGAAGTAAGACTTATCTACACCTTTCTGTGGTCATCCTAACTTCTCAGCCTTCAGTCAAGACTTATCTACAACTCTCTGTGGTCATCCTAGCTTCCCAACCTCTCTGTTGCCATCCTAGCTTTCCAACCTGGGGTCAAGACTTATCTACACCGCTCTGTGGTCATCCTAACTTCTCAGCCTGCAGTCAAGACTTATCTACACTTCTTTGTGGTCATCCTAACTTCCCAACCTAGGGCCTGTCCAGTGTAGATGGAATCAATGTTTCCTTTGAAGTCGGAGTACATCTGCCTGAAAGATGAAGAACCAACAAGCAGCATACAATTCACCGTATCTGTAAAATGAAAGTGCATGCAGAACTTATGTTCTGTAATGAGGCTACAGATCAGAAGATTCAGAACTTTTCTCTGGAGTTTACACTGAATGTGAACAAACAACAGGAAGAGAAACATTGACTGCAATCAGGTGCTTATAAAAAAACTAAGCAGATAAAACACAGAATAAGACTAGGGAGCTCAGTCAAAGGAAAGTAAGGAAAGGAAGTTTGAGCATGTACACACTCATACCCTTTCCATTTTGTATGATGACTAATTCTCGATGCACCCATTCCATTTTCTGTCTTTTACACCTTTTACTTCGTCACACACTGATTAGAAACCCCTCTGTCCAACTCTTCATGCTCATTGATAGGATTTCACTAATGCCTCCTGGCTGGTCTTTATAGAGAGATACCTGTTTCCTTTCTTTTCTTTATAGAGTGGCCAGGTGAGAATCACACACATTATATCAATTTGTTGTTTATTGTCATTTTCTTTTATTGTTTACAAATATCTTAGCACTGTAAATCAGATATTTCAGTCATTATTTTGTGTGTGTTGTGTTTCTTATCTGTTTGCAGATGAAGGCTTATCACCTCAGTGCCCTTAGTTTGTTAATTGTAATCAGGTCCTTTGTGTCTTTGTAATTAAAAATTGTAATCGGTTCTGTAAAGAAGATATATTCTTTATGTTTTTCCGGTGTTTAAAAAAAAATGAAAAAACATTATTTGTTCACAGATACTGCAAGCTAAAGTACGCAGACTTGAACATCTCCTTCAGCTGAAAGACCTCAGAATAGAAGATCTTCAGAACAAGCTTGAGACAGCCAAACCACTAGCTAGAGGCATGAGATAATTCATCATATTAATAACTCATTAACTCTTTTGGTACCAGCCTGTAAATACTTTAGCTCTGTATATTCAAAAGTTCTAGTTTAGAGCAGCTAATGTGGACTCCAAAATATTAACTCTGTTGCTCGTAAAAATCTTTACAAAATTTTCCTTTTTCAAAATTGTGTTAAAAAGAACATATCAATCTAATTCTCGGAAACTCTGCCCTCACAAACTAGAGGAAGAGAAGAAAAAGCAAAAGAAATTTTAAGTCATGTAAGCTTTTAGAAAAAATCCAGGGAACTGAAACCTATAATCACTGAGCAGAAATGCAAATCTGCTAGCTATAAAAAGATATAATTTTCCATATTTGTTAATGTTTTTGCATAAAGATTTTGTGTGCATTAGATATAAAGGGAAATAATTGCTACATACAAATGAAGCAAAGAAATAACAACTTCCCTTACCTTTTGACCGAAAAAAAAAAAAAAGAGGCTTTTGTTGGCACAGCCAGAGAGATAGCAAAGTAACTTCATATTAAGTTTATAATGACTTTACAGTGACCAAGAAAAATTATATATTGAAAAATTAGTTTTTGTAGACATTATCTTACACACCAGATCTACATATGATTCAGTTGTTAACCTCTACCAGAGCTGTTACATAGGCATATTGACCACTTCCCAAAGATGTTATATCCTCAAAAACCCTTAAAAGTCAGAAAACCAGCTTTCTCAGGGCAACAGGTTTAAAACTCTAACACTGTGGTGCAGAAGGTGCACAGCTAACAATTTAGATACTGTGGGTTAATGTAACAAGTATCGGTAATAAAAGAGTCTTACATGTCTTCTGCCTTTGGACTAACCAATGAACATATGATTTGCATGGTGCCAAAAGAGTTAAATTTACTCAATCAGTGTCTCAGAAAATTGTTTTCAAATGTGTTTGTAGGAAAGAGATATTGTTCTTAAGCAATAAATATCTCACCTGATTAGTTTAATCTGCTGGGCTCATCTAGTTGATCTGAACTGCTTTGATTTGATTTGATTTTAAATATATGAGCAAGATCGGAACTGTGTAGTATCTTGTTCAGCGATTATCTGTAGTACCTTTGTACAGCCTTGGTAAAGAATACTTGTGTGTTTGAAGTGTAGTAACATTTTTTTAGACACACATTTGCACTTGATACAGATCCTTACCTAATTCTACATTTTCAAAATCAGTATTAGTTGATTATATCATCATCATGATCATCTAGTTGTGCCATTAAATGTCACAAAAGGCTCACAGCTTATTCCTTAATTCAGTTCCAACCCATGCAGTCTTTTCGAGATCATGGATGGAATCCAACCCAGCACCTTTGGTCTCTCTCATCACTATTCATTTTTGGGTTTCTTGGGGACTTCCTCAAGTTTGAATTCCATATATTTCCCGTTTTAGTGCCTGTTTGGTGATTCTCTGCTCGTTGATAATTGACACTACCAGAACTGCTTACTCTCTATACCCCAGTCTACAGCCCACCTTACATTGATCAGTTACACAATCAAAACAGTTTTGTTTTATAAAGTAATTCTGTACCTTACTCTAAACTGCTTAGATACTTTGTATATCAGATAATTTCAGCTATCTGTTTTCCTGCTATATGACAAAATTATTTAATTTTTAATGCTTCTACTTATACACTTGTATGTCCACAATTATGCTCATTTTCTTTAACTATACTTACAATGACAAATTTAGTTTCATTTGTCTCTATTCTTATCCTTATATGATCCAGATATTTTCAGTTATCTGTGCCATTCCTTATACCGCCAATGTATTCTCAGGTTTTTTACTCATTCAGTTCCCACTAACTCTGTCCTACCCTTTTGTGTGTGTTGAAAAAAACTTTCTTATCCTACATGTTATTTTATCTTATGGATTCCAAGGTGTTGAATACTTTAATGCTTTGTGGCTCAGAGCCATAGAAATTTCTTTGGACAGAAGGATTCCAATTAACAGTGTGAAATATGGAATAATCAATTAATATTTAGTGGTTTCTTTTGTGTGTAGCAAACCTGAAGATGAATTTTATCCTAATAATTGTCCAGCATATGATAACTTAGTAAAGATAAGTTACATCAGATTATACAGGAGAACATTTGATGGTTGAATATTTGTAGCTTTTGAAATACATTAATGTGGAGACTCTAATCTGGAATAATATTAATTGTGATATTTCATGGAGAGAAAGTGGAAGTATAATTTCAGGAATAACACCATGTTGTAGATGTTTATTGGACAAGCTGAAATTGCATTTAAATCCATTTCATCAAATTTTTTTTGCATCAGAATGTTGTATGTATTTATTTTGCATTGTTAAGACTATAGTAAGTGTTGTTAAAATATTGATTTATAAACATTATAGATCTTATAGACTAAGTTATGTAGTTCTGTGATTAGCATACTTTAGATTAAAATGATGAGTAATTCAGCATTATTGTTTGTTTGCCAAGACGTTAGTTTGGGTTCAGTCCTTAGCAGACATAGTGGAACAACTCACATTTGTGTCCGCAAAACCCCACTTCTAGCCGTCGCTAGAGATTTCTTGGCCTTCCATTTATGAGCAGTGACTTTTTCCATGAGTTGTACCAATGCAGGATTATTTTTCTGATCTGTTCAACTCTTGAAATCAGTCCAATTTGATCTTCTTCTATATTGATGCTTAAAAGTGTGGTTGGGACCCTGGTTTGGGGTTTACTGCCAAGGGGTGTGATATCTGCGCCTTTCTGACTAACAAATCTGATTTCAGGTCACCCCTAATGAGTTGCCTTTTATAACATACTTGTTTTTGTGCAATGGGTCTATTCTGGTGCCTCGAGAAAACTCTCAGCAAACTTCAGAGCAGAGCAGCAAGCAATTATCGATGCAACCAAAGTGCTTGTGAAAAGAAAAAGAAAAAAAATAGCAAAATGATTTTCCTGCGTGACTACATGTCAGTCCACTCGGCAACTAAACAGACTCTTAGAAAACAAACACATCATTCTGAAGTCGATCCTGGCTCAGTGTGGCATACCAGGAAATTAGGGACAGACTTGCAAAAAATGGAACAAAGAAAAAACAACATGCCCATTTATTGCCATTACGAGATATCAAAATACTCATCAAGGACAAATACAATGAATTGTGGAGAGAAAGAAGCAGCAGTAAACATCCACAAGAGTCCATCAGCAGTCTCAACAAAAAACACTTTACCATCTACAAACAGGACACTGCAGACTCAAGTATCACATGCATGAACTAAAGACTTTACAGTCCCCACAGTGTGCGTGTCAGACAGGACCACAAACACCTGAGCACATCCTGCAGACCTACCCACTCTACCTACAACTTCAAAAAGAAACATGCCTCAAGAGCAAAGTGTGCAGAGCAAGCTATGGGGAACGATGAAGGACCTGCAGCTGACATTCGTGTTCACAGAGACCACCCACCTTTTCCAATCATTTGTTTAATCTATTATTCTTATGTTGCTCAGTCATCACATCAAACCTCATATTTGTCTTTTCTGGCTGATGGCCTTGTTAAGCCCCCGCCTCTTCTACGTGCTTTATGTTAACTACCTGTTTACCTAACATTTCATAAAGTAAATCATTCCATGAGAATGAAGGGAAGTCATGAGCCTGAGGATTTAAGGCTGCCTGGCTAGTGCAGTCGTAATGAACAATGCAGGTTGGGAGTTTTGTTTTCCTCCCCAAACCAAAATATCTCCATTTCTTACTGAGGATCAAACCTGTATCTTCTGCATGTGAGCCTAGTGCTCTAACTATTTGACCATCCTCTCCTCAGTTTGAATAATAAAGTTTATACTTCACAGGTTTAGTTCTTAACTCTTCGAGTCCCAGAGGGTTTAGCATCACAGGCCCAGGGGGTAGTAAAGAAAGTAATAAAATCTGCGCATCATGCATTTATTGGGCTTCTAGGTAGGAACCTATGAAAGTATGATGCGTTCCTTGGGACTCAAAGAGTTAACTGGCAGTGCTTCATGTAGTCTTTTGTTATGTCCTTAAAAATCTGACTGTTTTGGAGTGTATAGCTTCTTGTGCAGTAATGCTGCATTTTTCATAGATCATCTTAGTTTAACTCTTTCAGTCCCAAGAAAAACATCATACGTTAATAGGTTCCTACCTAGAAGCCTAGTGATCGCAAGATGCGTTGTTTTACATCACTCTTCACTGCCCCTTGGGCCTCTGATGCTAAACCTCCTGGATCTGAAAGAACTAAAACATTGTATAGCCTCATGAAATGATAATTGATTGATATGCTACATTCTATAAAAAGTGCTTCCAAAAACTATTGTAGGTGTTTATTCCTTAGTTCTGGCTCTTCTGCTTAGATTCCACTTTGCATATCCCAGTGTATTGTCTTTGCTGCCTTTTTTTATTGGACCTGTAAAGACTTGCCTGCATTTACTTTATCAACTGTTATTCTGCTTTAATTTCATTAATGTTTTTGAATTTTCTTTATCATCTTGACTAGTTCAGCATTATCAATCTGTATTTTTCTTTGTACTGATTGAACATCTTATAACTTCCTGTTTAAATTTCCGGGCCTTAATTTTTTTTTTTTTTCAAACGTGTCATAAAGTAACACTAATAAGGATTGGCTGAAAACAAAATTGTTGAGCCAAAAGGTGCAGGTATGACAGCCTTGCTGTAAACCACAACAGTATGTACCAACCACAGTTTTCAAGACAAGGGAATAAGAAATAGATTTCTTCTAAAAATGTCTGGAAATTCTTATTTGATGTGTTTGTGGTTAATGGTTGCTTTATTTTATTTACCATATGTGTAAATAAAATTGTATATGTATTAGTTTTATATACCATATTATAGATTTTCATGCTGCTCTGATTTAACCAGCTGTGATATCTGAATATTTTATATATTTATGATTATGTACATTGAAATCTTTATCAATATCATTTAGTGAATTATTTATATCAAGCAAAATTGACCATAATAAAGTCTGAAACATAAATCAAAAGTA